AATAAAACTATGACAAAGAATACTATTGTATTATTAATTACATTAACTATAATAGTATAATAATTGAGAATGCACCGGATATCCGGAAAGTAACCGGTATCCGGTATTATCCGGCAGTTTTTTACTATCCGACCGGATAGCCGGATATCATTAATATTCGGGAATATATCTGGTTGAAATTTGATATTATTAAATTGTTGATTTTTTCTTATACAAATGTTTTAGAAATAAAATATGTATATTTATGATACTATAATCTTATTCATTGTTGCAAAATTACAATCTTTTTCTCTATAGGTCTTTTTTTCCGGAAAACACTTTCTTGGAATCCGGTCGGATATCCGAAAAATGTTAGATATCCGACTCGAAGAAATTGCCTTCTCGGATATTCGATTTTACATTCTGTCCGGATAGTCGATATTCGGTATCCGGTAATTTTACGATCCGTGCATCCCTAATAATAATAATTAATACTATTGTACAATATAAAATAAAATATAGAACAAAATATATTATACTTTGTTATACGATAGATGATTTATAATATAAAAGTTAATATAAAAATACAATACATACAAGTATGCGACATATAAATAAAGCAAAGGAATAATTTACTTTATTAATCTTTATATTCATTTAGAGATGACTCCAGAGTGACTCTCGATAGGATGTCTCTTAAATGGACGTTAGCCGTAAGCGAAATTTCCGCTCGTGGCGCATCCCTTTGACACCCTCCCTGATAATTTAATTACTTGGACGTTTTTCAGTACAAAGGCAAAGCGCACCATCAATCTATTTAATAAAAACGTTGAAAATCAATTCAATAATCTACGAATCGCTACACGTGTATAAACAGATGCTTAATCTCGATAGACCAAAAAACTGTTTTTAAAAGATTAAACAGTTCACAATGTTGCAAGATGCTTTAATTTCTAGTTTCATAGATTTAATGAGAAAGAAAAAACACGCGAAATTTATTATGAAAAGTAAACAGAAGTTAATAGCAATGCTCAAGCATATTTCGAACACGTGAAAAATGAAATCCTCAAAAGCCAAGAAATAAAGCAATGTCACTATCAATTATTCTTGAATTAAATGTAAGATAATGGAAAACAAGAAAAGAGAAAGAAAATTGAAGCGAAATACATGCAGCGTAGAAGAGACCGAGGATGGTTTTTGATTAGTGATTTTTAGAAAAAAGTGGATGCTTGAATTTTGAAATATTATACGTTATAATATACCTACATGCTTTAGGTATTAAAAAAATATTACTCGTAAAGTCATCGTATCATAAAAATAAGTTATTTAATTTTAAATGAAGCTGTAAAAATGTGATAATTAACTCCGTGTTTGACTATCACTCTAAGATTGGCAGTAGTATATTTATTATGGACAACACATATAAAAAATACAATTTATATTTTAATATCAGTTCTATATTTTGAAAAATAATAGTAATTATGGTATTAATTTCAAATAAAAAAGTTACTTTAATCATAAAATATGTAATTTATTTTTGTACCGTAGTTTCTATATGAAAAATGAAAAAACATATATATCTATATGAAATATAATATATTTGTAAGCATATTCTCTAAAAATGTATTCTCTAAAGATATTAAAATTAATTGTTATGTAACCTCATTTTATTTTGGTCAATCTATTCCACATAGCCATTTTTAATAAAAGATATTGTATTCACAAACTTTGTCAGGCTAATGATTAATTAATTGTAACACAGATCTTCTAAGACATGTCACTTTCTGAATACAGGAATATCGCGATTAATAATGCCAAAGACTTGTCAGACAATAAAATAGGTGATAAGAAAAATTTACTTACACTAACTTCATTTTCTTAAAAATCTTTATATAGTATACAATGCTTGTGGTGCGAATGATTTTGTACAGCAAATTAATATTACATCAGCATCTATAGTAAAAAAAAAAGAGAGATGTTTTTGCCACATCCTGTTTGAACTATAAGTTTGAGTTATTTTGATAATCATCTCCAATCTCCTCTACATTCGGTTCCGTATTCTAAGTTTTCTACGTCGATTGGCGTAATCAAATTGCGTGATATACTTGATAAGAAATCCGATAATGTGCTATAGTCTTGGCCAAAAATATTAGGCATTTATATTTTTTTATTTATTTGTAATTCTTTTATTTTCATTGTTATTTATAATATTTACTGAGAGAAAAGTATACTAAATTTTAATGAATAATGTTTAAATAATATTAACGTAACATTTATTTACAGAAAAGACATATTTGCTAAATAAAAAATAATGGTTAAATCAAATTTATGGATTTTATAGCAAATAAATATATGTTTAATAAAGCACTTTTATAAAAAAAAAGTATTTATTAATATTATTAAAATTCATATATTTTTTTCTCAGTGTTGGTTATCGGTACTGTACATAAATCTAAAGGGTTCTTGAAACAAAGGATAATTTATAAAAAATATCATAAATCAATTTCTAAGCTAAAGCTTCAAATAATGGTTAATAAGGTGCCTAATATTTTTGCCTAGGGTCGTAATATACGATGTACTTTTTTTAATTATAACTCATACGATTCTTTGTTGTATGTCACAAATCATATAAACACCATTGCGTAGTATTTGCTAACGACTTAAGTTACACTCATTCATGCGTAATTATCACGTGTATTTCTTGCCAAACATAAGTAACTATAAATATAGAGCCAAAAATATGATCGAATAATCTACAGTGTCTTGCCAATTCTCATTCTGAATCTATCAGAATCTCTCTACTGAGAATATTCAGGTTTCTACGTTAATTAATTCGCAAGAACGCTTACTATTCGGAACTGGCGAATTCGATTGGTTTTAAGGATATTTTGGCTATACAATATCGGTGAGAAGTATCAACCAAAAAATCGGTTCAAAAAGTCAATATCTGCTAATATTAGTCAACCAATTTTTGTCATAAATTTGTTCTGAAACCAACTGCAAAATATAAAACAACAAAATTTGATTTATAATGATTTTATGCAGCGAAATGACCACATTTTGCTACAGTTTATTAGAGTTTGATTTAATTCGTAATGCTATAATCTTATCAAATTTGCAAATAACTACTACAAATAACTACTATGCAATTTTAAGGCTAATAAAAAATTAAATAATTTTTGCACCAATAAGAGAATTATGTTTAACTTTTACATGGATACTGTAACATAATATTAGAACAATTTCTGAAATCTTTATATTTCTGGTAATGTTTTGAGATATGACAACGTCCTCTAAGGCCGTAATCACATAGGTTGTCAGTTATGGTTGTTGGTTTTATTTTAGATAATTATGATGCAACGAGTGCAGATTAGCTGCAACATGAATTGATGAAAATAGAACCGACAACCGTAACCGGCAACTTGTAGTGTGATTACGATCTAAGGATGTATCCTGACCCTCTTCGTCTTCGGAAGTGGTTAAATCGACCGTGTTTTCTACTTTGTACAGAAAAATGAACTTCGTAGTGTTCGGACTTATCCTGATATGTTGCCATGCCTGGGCAATTGAGATAGACGGTAATTGTAAGTAGATACCTATAGTATTTCTTGTCCTCTAATATTTTTCTAGACATACATCGTATAGTATTTCTCCGGAAATATATTATTCTTACAATTATATCATCACACTATGTTTGTCTATTTTTGAACGATCTACTTTTAAGCCGCTTATTTTGGAAGATTCTATTTCTCACTTATCTGTTTTGAATGATATTTCGATTTTTGATACAGAGATTTTAGACATTATATATTTGAATAAGTCTATTTATGAATGTTTTATTTTTGTCGACTATTCTTCATATATATCGATATCAATTCTCCAAATCTTTCTGTGCTTCGCGTATTTTTTGTTCTAGTTCTTTTTTTAACGATAACATTTTATCAAAGAGAGGAATCGACATTATCATTATGCAATATCGACATTCTTACATATTGTATTTAGCACTGATTATATGATGCATATGTTTAGTTGCAGCTATACAGTTCGGACCTAATATAAATTTCCAAAAAGTTTTTGAAAAATTAAAGTCCTCATTGCAAAATGGAACCAGTGGACTCGAAGTATTCGGAATTCCGATTCATGAACCGTTCATTGTGAAAGATAGACTGCCCGTCAAATATAATACATCTACTTTTATAGGTAACATAGAGTGCGTATCAGTTTGGTTTTTGAAGTAATACGTTGACCACTAAAGCGTTAAAAAATCAATATACTTATCCTTAGTAGGTCGATAGAGAATGTTATCACGATTATTATCAATATCTTTTATTTGATTGTGTTTTTTAAATTGTCGCTATATATTATGCAGCAGAATTTATACACTTAATAAAAAGATACAATGAATGTGAAAAGTATTCACACAGGGAAGATTTTTTTTATAAAAAAAGCCTTATTGAAAATTGATAAAAAATGAACTTTAATTAACAATTTATTAACAATAAATACATTCTTTCTTAATATAAATAAAAGTTCTTCGTAAAAATAACTGTTTAAAAGCTAAATTTCTCAATTGTATTTTTTCTACGATCAAAAGAATATACTTTTTTATTGTTATTATTAATATATTTTCATTATTATACAACTTTTTAGGTAAAATAATTTAAAAAATATATAACTTATTTTATTTTTTGTTAATTAATGTTTACTTTCTAAAAACAAAGAGCTTTGAAAAAATATCTTTTCTGTACGAATACTTTTTGCATTCATTGTATATTTAAAAAATTTAGTGAGGAGAGATCCCAAGCAGGACAACAAGTCATTATGATATCAAAATGATATCAAAATAATTCCAAAATAATCACTGAAAGTCATTTTTTATCATTTTTCATTCATTTTAATGTCATTTTGATATTATCGTGACTTGTTGTTCTGCTTGGGATATCTTAGTTTAACATGTATCATGTATGACATGACAGTTTACGTATCATAAATCGATTCGTTATTAGACGAAGTAAAAAACAAAGTTTATTAATGACAACTGGCAAATTTTTTATTTTTTCTTCGTGCTTTCAGTCTCAAGGGATTTCTTGAAAACTTTAACGTGAGTGGTTTGACCTCATATAATGTCAACAGCGCTAAATTCAAACCAATTAGTTTGAATGCCTTCATAGATATAAACTGGCCGTTGATAACCGCGAGTACTAATTATTCCTTAAAAGGCAACGCCTTTAACTACGATATTTATGGAAATGGAGGTATAAAGTAAGTATTTGTTCCTTTTGAGAGAATTTCATTATCATACGCGATCATATTCAATCGCGATTTTCCAATATCTATTTTCTAATATCTCACACTAAAAAGAATCTTGCTACCAATTTTTGCATTTTATTATTTGTCAGTAAAAGAGATAGAAAAATTTAAATCTTTAGCGAATGTGTATTAATTTCAATTATTATTATCATAATAATATATTGTGATTACCTTCATCGTAATTAAAATAAATAATTGTTTATTATCATAATTATAATTGATTATTATTATCATCATTATTGCAATGAGAAAGATCGCTGGCTTTCCTCGTAAAAAAAAACGCTCGTTTTTCATTCTGCTTCATCTATATTTAACTACAATGCTTAAAATATGTACGTGAAAAAAAAAAACGGGAGCTGGGATGACTGACAATGAGTTAGCTGTTTTTCATTCAGCGCTTTCGCGACTTTATCAGGCGACGCCAACTGCGACAAAGCACGTTATTAAATCGTGACTGAATTTATATGCTTCGCGCGAAACACGCGATCGCGCCGATCCGCGATCTCGCGTTCAGCTTTCTTACGGTCGGTGGTCAAGCTCACCTTTAGCAAATGCGAAACTCAATTGAGATTGCTTTGATGGAAATTTCAACGGGACTTTTTTTAGATTTAAGATAATTTATCGTTCCATTATTAAATTGAATGATAAATTTATATTTAAATGAATCTTTTTAACGCGCACAAAATCAGGAAGAAAGATCTTTTTGACGGCGTTTATTTAAAATATATAATAATTAACAATTTTTTGTGAATAAATACTATTCCCTTAATAATTAAGTTGCTTCCTTCAAAATTATATACTGTAAAAAGGAGTCTAGTTATAGTTATCAAATATTGAGTGAAATAATATTTGTAAAGGTAAAATTATATTTAGTTATTACCTCAATATTTATTTAAAATTATTTCATTCAATATTTGGTGGCTATATAATTAGGCACTTTTTTTAGTGCAAGACATATTTTATAATATTTCTTTCTATTTTATTTATTTCTATATTTTATCTATTTCTATATCTATACATTTTATTTCTATGCATCTCTTATAATTAATTAAAATATATATAATATATAATTTTTTAAAATAAAAACTTGAGATCGCAAAGTCTTTAAAGCTACATAGGTATATTTAATTTTTAGTGGAATCATACATAACTTCAGTGCTACTATGAATGTTGGTTTCAACTTGAAGGATCGGCATATACAAGTTCGAAATATAGCAACAAAGATTTTCTTTGAAGGATCAGATGTAAGTAATTAATTCTTTTCTGGCTTTTGCGATCCTCAGGATTCACATCTATAAGCGATCAAGCTAATGCAAAAATAATATTGAATATAAAATAAATAACTTTACGTTAACATTAGATTACTTTTTGAAAAACTAAATATGTGCATAATTTTCAAAATTCTATTAATGATTTTCATATTGTCCTCAAAATAAAGAATAATTCATATTAAATGTTAGAAGTTAAAAGAAAAATGATGAAAATCAAATATCACTTTATCACTTTATATTTCAGATAATGGATTTTCTTGACCATTTTTCTCATGTAAAAGCTTATATTACAAGTTTTCTCTACAATGTCATGCACATTTAATTTTTAAAAATTTTGAAGAATAATTTATTAATTTTTTTAATACGTAAAATTATTATTATTAATTAATACGTTAAATAGTATATGTTAATTTCTTGATTCACATCAGTTATTATGCGAGAAAATTGTTACGATATATCAAATTAACACTGCCATGTTTCTTGCCTTTCAATTTGCATATATAAAAAGGCGACCCAGTCACACTGCTGCTAGCAGAGATATCGATCTTCTGCTATTATAAAAAAGATTCGAAAAATCTACATCTCATTTTGCTGAAAAAATTATTACTGTGCTCCTCAGAAATGTTTTGACTAATAAGCATATATTTATATAAATAATATGTATGAAAATATATAAAATAAATTGTAAAAAAATTAAGCAGAAAAAAAGAAATAAGTTGACTATGAAAAGTCTAATTATGAAGTCTCCATAAAACACTGATTTAATTTTCTCTAATCGATTTTAATAAATTTATTTGAAAAAAATTATAAATATGCAGCTGAAATTATAGGAGTTTGACATTTTACATATGAATTACGGCTCCGAATTAGAGAAGTTTATTCAAATCGTAACTCTCTCAAATGTTTCTCAATGAATTCGATTGTATGGAATAAAAACAATTAATTTTCTGTTACTGATCATTTTCACTTTTTCTGATTTCTAATAAAATTTTCTTTTCTATCACCCGCAGTTTAACGTAACGGGCCTCTTCAACGATGAGGGCATGTCTAAGATAGTCAGCAAGACGATTTCCGATGTTACGTCTAAGTTCATCACCGCGAACCAAAACACGATTGCGTATATTATTAATACCTCTGTCACGAAGATTTTAAACAAATTTCTGTTAAATATAACATTTCGAGACCTATTGAAAGGAATAGGTTTGTAATACTTTTCTACCTGTTGGCGCCATGTTATCGTTCAATCAATCATTTCTACAACGATCGATCCCAGTTGAACGATACAAATACATGATAATGCACTTAAAGAGCATTTGTTGGTAATGTTGTCAAAGAGAAAATTTTTAATGAAGCTTATTTTGTTAACGAAGTTTATTAAATTTATTTCTTGCAATGTATATAGTATTAATTAAAAAGTATAAAAATCACAAGCAGAAAAAATTTCTTTCCTATAATAAGATTTTCGCTTTCTTTATAAATTTTATTCTTTATGTTATTTTCATACTAATATTAAAAATAGGAAATCGATACCAATTAAAAGTAACATAACATTAAAACTAAAGTAATACTAACATAATTTGTAAACAAATTGTAAGAACATTTTTAAAATAAAATTAACATTTATGGTATATTAAATAACACGTATTTTATTCATTTATCTTAGAATTTATCTTTTAAATATTATTAGTTATTTTTATGTTATTTACTCATTTAAATAACATATAAATTATGTTATTTTAACACTAAGAAATGTCAAATATCATTTTAGCACAAAATATTTAAATTAAACATAATCACATTATGTTAAATTAATACTCGAATATGTTAAAAAATACGAAATTTTAACAAGAACTTAAATAGATTAACATAAACATAAAATGTTTTTTATTGTGTATGGTAAAATACAAAAGAAAAAAAAATATGCCTCATATTATATATCACATTTCATATAAAATTATTTCTAAAAAATAAATGTACAAATATATTTTTTGTCTTGCATATGGTAATGAACAGACTTGAAAATACTATACATTCGCATGATATCGCGTTTATCAAAAAAAAAGATAATTCGATAAATCTACAATTGAGGGAAAAAGAGAAAGAATTTAAGATTCAATTAATCTAATCTTTTTTGCTATGTGCGTATTGTTACAACTCTTCATTTTATCGTGCTATCTTATATTAAAATGTCGCTATAATATTAAAATTGAATTATTTACTTACTTCAATTGTATACTAATTTATATATCTGTCTAACGCATAAAATAATATTTATTATATTATAAAACTCCTTTTTTTTCGTTATAAATATATATTTTTGCAGTTAAATAATATTACATAATGTTATCTGTATTATTTATGTACGATATTAATTTTTACCAACATAGATTAGACCTACAATGTATCTTCTTCTTTAGACAGTTTAGGATACTCAAACTCTATTCATTTAGCAGAAATGTAATTTTGACTTTTATATTTTTATACAAATGTGTCACAATATTCAACACTATTAAATCAAATAAATTGTCATTATTCATAAAAAAAATTTTAATTGTAAAATAAAAAAATATTATAAAGACACAAAATATTCTTTTACATAAAAAAAGGTTTAGTAATAGCTATCAAATATTTAGTGAAATAATGCTAATTAAATGTTTGATTAATATAACTAAATAATTTTTTATTTTCTTAAATATTTATTAAATATATTTTATTAAAGTTACCTGCATTTATATATTGTAGATATTACAAAAATTTTTTTTAGTGTATTAAATATGCAAAAAATTACATTGTACCGATTAAAAAAAATTCAGTATTTTAACATTGCAGTATTTTAATTCCTGCCAAGACTGCGCATTATCTTTATATACATCACTTGATTGTTACACAAGTTGCAGCATAACAAGCTGATTTATAATCTAATCTTCAGTTTAATCTCTGGTTTTGATAAGAGACACAGATCTCATTATAAGAAAACAAACTCATTAGACTAAAATAAAATTAATCGTAATAACATAATTACAGTTAATTGCGCTTCCACGACGTAAAAAAACTGTCATTAACAACTACTTCGATGTTTTCAAAAAAACTCAATGGAATTTTTCAATAAAAGAAAAACGAAAAATACATAAAATTTTGCGTGTTTTTATACGAAATCAAATTCCTTAACTGGACAAAGATCGAATTGTTGTACGATATGCGTAATCAATAAAAAATCTTGATTCGATATCAGCGAATTGTGCCTATAAATACGTCCACATTTTCTTGAGCTCGCAGTTTTGTTTGTGCTGTCTAAACAAACGTAAAGTTGGACGGTTGTCAGACTGGTGTAAATCAACTTACGACGAGCCGTACGTAAACAATACATGATCGTTCTAGGCCTTGAGGGCCACAAAGTTTTCACAGATAATAAAAAATATACAATTTCAAACACAAATAGATACTAAACACAAAAAAGTGACGAGTTAACTTTATTTAACTAAATTTAAATGAAATTATAAATTTTTTTCGGCTTCCATGTTTCTTAAATATCCGCGTCGCAGAAAGATGTGAAAATATATTTGATTGCGAAAATATATTCGATGTCCTTTTCGATAACAACATTGGCCAATAATAATAACAGGAATTTGTTAGCTTTAAGGCTGATAGGTACTGTGACAGCGTAACTAATAATAAATAGATATTTTCTACTTCACGCAGAAAAATGAAGCTGCAGGTAGTGTTCGGGATCGTCCTAATCTGTTGCAATGCAAGGGCAATGAGAATAAATGGTAAGCAGATATCTATATTTTTTCTTCTAAAATTCCCTTTCTCCTATATTTTTCTAGAGATCCATTTCTTCAAACCAGTGATGCGCAACTTTTTTAAGAATCATTTTCAAAAGGACATTTTTAGAATCTTTAAAATCAGGACATTTAAAATCTTTTGGGCATTTAAAATCTGTATAATGTTTCATTTGAATAAAATAGAAAATATAATTTTTTATTTCTGGCTATGAGCCTGTAGGTCAAAAATTCACAGATAAACCACATGCGACTCATAACCGCAAGTTATGCAACGCTGTACCAAATGATTTTTTTTTTAAGAGTAAATTGTTTATATTATTTATTTTATGCCTATTTTTATATTATCTATTCTTCAATTTGCAGTTAAATTACTTATTTTTAAACATTCAATTGTTTTTTTTAATATTTCTCGTGAAATATATTTTTAATAAAAAGATCTTAAAAAATTGCATATTTTTTAATAATCTATTTATCGCATTATCAGATTATTATCACGAATTAATTATTCTTTTACATTATTATAATTTTCACAATTTTACGCTTTTATTATTAATACGTTATTAAGAAGATAATTAATATTATTAATTTTTAAGATTATTTTTTTACTCACGTATTTTTTCAAAAATACGAAATATTGCTCTCTTTAATAATAATATTTTATCAAAAATATAAATCCTTGCATTTATTTGCGTAAGTTAATAATGTTATCTGCAAAATTTATATAAATTTTATTTTTTTTTAGCAGAGCCGTTTGGAAATCCCATGATACAAGATGCTCTCGAGAAGTTAAAAAATACTCTGAAGACAGGAAACGAGAAACTCGGAATTCCGATTCTTGATCCATTCAAAGCGGATCAGCTTGCGGTTAATATTAATGAAGACGAAATAAAGTGCGTGCCGTTCAATTTTTTATTATATATATATATATATATAGAGCCATAAATCTATATAACTCTAGTTCTTCTTTTTAATAAAACTGTAAGCGTAGTTTAATATTTTTGACAAATATTTTTTTTAAATAGTAACATAGTAACAGGTAATGATTCGCGTCATTTTACTTGAACAAAAAAAAAACAAAATGTACTTATCACGGAATTAAATTTATAAACTTTTTATATGTTTTTATATGTCTTTCGCATATTTTCAGATTGAATGCGAATTTGAGTACGTGCAATGTAAACGGTTTATCTGGATATGATGTCATCAATGGTGATTTGACTATGTCCGAAGACATTGTCATATCGCTTCATCTTTCGTGGCCATTAGTCACCGCGAATACTAAATACGACATGAAAGGCAAAGTCGACAATTTCGAACTTTTCGGCAATGGTAACATAAAGTGAGTATTACTCGTTTCTTAAAGATTGAAAATTAAAACCATCTACAATTATGGCGAACTTAAAATTTTAAAAACTACTCAAAATTAGATCAACAAGAATAAATCAATTAAGAGAAATAACACAGGTCCACAAAAAAAAGTATTTTGGGGTAAAGACTCGGCTATTCTTATGTATTTTGAGTCGCTGAATACGAATACATTAAAATAGAACCATCCAGGGAAATTTTTCAATTTAAAGCAAAACAATGACCTATTTTTTCCCCATTTTTAACTCATATTTTCGCTTTAAATTGAAAATTTTGCCCGGATGGTCTTATTTTGATATCAGATTCGTATTCAACGAGTCAAAATACATAAGAATAGATCTCCACCCCAGCACAGAGTACTTTTTTTTGTGGGTCTTTGTAATCCTATTTTCGGCCAAAGCGGATTTTAGTGATACTAATATGCAAACGTTTGCAAATATATTTTTTTCTGTTCTGTAAACTGCGCGTCGATTCGATTACTTATGTCAAATTTGAAACGCAATTACAAATTGAAGCAAACTAAAGATATCGAAAATTAAATTGATCATTAATTTTAATAATGATATTAATAAGCATCTTAAAAATCTAAATAATTTATTGCAAAAAATATCACTTCCAGCGCTTTAACTCAAAATAGGATTATTTCTCTTGATTGATTAATTTTCAGAATTTTAAATAATTCTTAGATTTAATTTTAATCTTAATCTTTTCTTTAATTTTAAGACTTTTAAATAATTCTTTATAAAGTATTTTCCACTTATTTTATCAATAAATATACCTCCGTTATAATTAAAATAGATATTTCTGCATATCTTCATTTAAAATACTCATTTTAAATGAAGATATGCAGAAATATCTATTTTATCCAAATTGTTCAAAATATTAAAGTTGATAATATACTGCGTATTCAATTTTCAGACTGTCTGCGCAAAATTTCGTTCTCAACACAACAGTTACTTTCTTATGGAACGGTAGTTTGAACTCATATTTGAAAGTAAAGAATATAAATTTAGAGCTTTCTTTACAGAAGCTAGATGTAAGTAAACAGAAATCTATCTTTCTTTCTTCTTCTCGCAATCTTCGTAATTATATCATTGAATGAAATTTCTAGAATGCGAATTATTCGAATACAAATCAAATCGAGTCAAGTAAGATTTGATTCGATTCGTATTCGAATAATTCGATCATCATTAATTCTGATCATCATCTACTCT